GAATAAATTTATATTATCACCTGTCAAATAAACAAGGGGATTTTATACACGAAGTAAAAAAGTAAGTATAAAATCTAATAAACAGGAGAATGTTTATAAACAGGAAAGTCAAAATGTTAAACAATCCAAAAAAAAAAAAAAAACAGTCGTAGTATTTTTAAACAGAGAAAACGGTATATGCCGTTGCAACGCATAACTTGTATTTTTTATAATTTTTTTATAAAGGCTGATGATTGCCTAAAGTCATGAAGCTTTAAGTTCCATTACAATAGTAAAACTTCTCAGTATTGCACGTGCATGTACAAAATATTTAATCTTCAAAGATCTTTTTATATATTTTGCATCAAAAAAAAACTTTAAATTATCATGTAATATTTTTTCGAAAAATTTAAAGAATTATTCAAAAATTTTATTTTGGAGTCTTGGTTGGAGTCGTAATCTGAAAATTTCAGCGATAGAGTCAGAGTCGGGACTTTTTTTTTCAATACTCAACACCCCTGTGAGCAATAATAAATTAGTAATAACACTAATCTTATTCTCTTCGACAGCTTGTTTCTCCATCAGAAACAAGCTGTCGAAGGTAAGTGTTATTACTAATTTATATATATATATATATATATATATATATATATATATATATATATATATATATATATATATATATATGTATATATATATATATATATATATATATATATATATATATATATATATATATATATATATATATATATATATATATATATATATATATATATATATATATATTTATATATATATATATATATATATATAATCCCAGTAAGCACATGAACGTTTTTAAAACGTTTTTTTAACTAAGAAAAAAAACATTTTTTAAACGTTCTGAATGGCAATACCTAAAAAACGTTTTTTAAAAACCGTTTAAAAAACGTTCTAAAAAAGTTGTTCTAAAAAAAAACGTTTAAAAAACGTTTTCAAATAACCTAAATTAAACCATAAAAAAACGTCTTTTAAACCTTTAAAGACGTTATTTTTTAGAAAATATTCCCAAATCCATAGGTACTATTATTAAATTGTTTTTAAAAGAACCTGTTGGTTAAAAAAACAAGAAAAACAAAAAAATTTATTTAAAAGTTATTTTTAAATTTATTTTTTAAAACAATTTACAAACAAAGTAATATTATAACGATGATATCTGTTGGATTTAAGGCACTTTAAGTCAAGCAAAAGTTGCCCGCTTTAACGAATCAGTAATTATTGCATCGACAATCGACTCTGTGTATGATTCGTAAGAAGTCGATGCACAAACTAAAAGAAAAAACTATATATTTGAAACAGACAATCTGAACAGTAATAATAGTAGTATATTATAATAATAATAATATATAGTAGAATAATAATAGTAATAAGTTTTTAAATTACAAATATATGTTTTAAAAATATATATATATAACTTCACATTGCATATATATATATATATATATATATATATATATATATATATATATATATATATATATATATATATATATATATATATATATATATATATATATATATATATATATATATATATATAATATATATATATATATATATATATATATATATATATATATATATATATATATATATATATATATATATATATACATATATATATATATATATATATATATATATATATATATATATATATATATATATATATATATATATATATACATATATATATATATATATATACAAAATGAGGTTTAAATATTTTTGTATTTTGTATCACATTGCATACATATATATATATATATATATATATATATATATATATATATATATATATATATATATATATATATATATATATATATATATATATACCTATATACAGTAGAGGCATAAAGTCATGACCACAGTTGAAAAACAAGAGAATTTTATTCATTTTTAGGCACAATATAAATAAAACAGCATCACATTGAAATAAAAATGACTCTGCATTGTCAGTAATAAGCGCCACTAATAAAACATAAGAAATTCTGACTAAAAGACTAGTATTTTGTATGCCCTCCATGCGCATCAAGCACGGCCTGTACAAGTCTTGGCATAGACTGTACCAGCTTTTGGATGGTGTCAACAGGGATTGCTAGTCATGCAACTTGCAAGTGTTGCCACAAATCATCCAGATTGCTAGGTTTGGTTTTCTGTATTTTTCTGAAAAGCTCCTTCTACAAATTTTCAATGGGGTTTAAGTCAGAATTTTGTGGAGGCCATTCAATAGCATTGGTACGAACATGTTTGAGATATTCCAATACTTTTTTAGATTTGTGGCAAGAAGCATTGTCCTGTTGAAAGAAGAATAGTTTGTTTTTACCAAATAGTTTGTTGGCTGATGGTTTCATTTGTGTTTTTAATATTTCCAAATATTTATCCTGGTTTACCGTGCCTGTACAACAATATAAATGATCTACACCCGATCCTGACATGCAACCTTATACCATAAGATAGCCTCCTCCATGCTTTACTGTATGAGAGGACTAAATCATTCACTAACACATAGAAGACTCAATCATTCACCAACTCTTCTACTCACATAAGCTCTTTTAGCTCCACAGATAACAGTAAAGGTACTTTCATCACTCCATAGCATTTTATTCTATTGTACGACAGTCCAGGTTTTATGCAACTTCGCGAATACTCTTTTTTTCGCGATATTATCAGGTCGCAATAAAGGCTTCTTTGCTCCCATTCAAGCCAGCTTGCTGCAGGCGTTTTCTAACTGTGCTTGCTGTCAGATGAACTTCATGGTTTTTTCCCATGTAGGATCTCAAGCCGTGGCGATACGATTGGTCTAACTCGCCCGAACCTAAAGCCGATCCTGCTTTGCGGTAGTTTTACGAGATGGGTATACAAGGGAAATGCACTAATCCCATTTTTGACAGTATAGAGTTATTTACACCACTATTTAGTATTTCAAATTTTCTATCATTTGATATACCACACTAATTTAATAAACCAATTATTAAAGTGTTATTAAGATTTATAATTTCAACTATTACACAAAAACTTATTGGCTCATTATCTCAATAAACAAATAAATAAATATATATATATATATATATATATATATATATATATATATATATATATATATATATATATATATATATATCTATATATATATATCTATATATATATATCTATATATATATATATCTATATATATATATATCTATATATATATATCTATATATATATATCTATATATATATATATATATATATATATATATATATATATATATATATATATAATATATATATATACATATATATATATATATATATATATATATATATATATATATATATATATATATATATATATATATATATATATATATATATATATATATATATATATATGTATACCTATATCTACATATATATATACATATATATATATATATATATATATATATATATATATATATATATATCTATATATATATATATATATATATATATATATATATATATATATATATATATATATATATATATATATATATATATATATATATATATATATATATATCTATATATATCTATATATATATATATCTATATATATATATATATATATATATATATATATATATATATATGCTTTAATTTTAGCATTATATATACAGTGAAATCCCGATATCTCGAACCTCGGATAACTCGAACTTCCAGTAACTCGACCAACTTTTGAATTCCCCTTGAACCCTCACTAATACTTTCACATAAAAACAGCTCGATAACTCGAACACCCGTTAACTCGAACATTCGCTTAGTCGAACCATTTTATCTGTTCGCATGGCTAATATTTTTCCGATAACTCGAACTTTCGAGCAAAAATATGAAAAAAAAACTTAAAATGGCTTTTAAATGTAAGGAGTAGAAACATGGCAGTATCAGCAACAATTCTTAAAACAAAAGCCAGAGAACTTGCTGAAAAAATTAATATAAATGGATTTCGTATGCAACCTAATAAGTCACTAAATCTTCAATCAGGGACGTGTATAGGAATGCACAGTAAAATTCGTCTTACAGGAATGGTCGCAGCAAGTCCAACAGGTGATAAAATTCCTATGTTTGTAATAGGTAAATCAAAATCAACTCGCTGCTTCAAAGGAATTAAGCACTTACCTTGCAGATACAGAAATCAAAATAAAAGCTGGATGGATAGCGTACTGTTTGAAAAGTGGAAACGAAAAATGGATACAAAGTTTACAAAAAAAAAAGAAGAAAGTAGCGTTCGTAATAGATAACTGCCCAGCACAACCGACGGTTGATAATCTAAAATCTATTGAGCTCATTTTTTTACCACCGAATACCACATCTAACTTCAACCAATGGATCAGGGAGTTATACGCTTTTTAAAAGTTTATTACAGATCTTTGGCATTGCAAAGGCTGGTCGTAGCTATTGATAAAAAAAAAATTTTCCTGTTTTTTCGATTTTAGATGCAATGAAAATGCTTGATCTTGCATGGCAAAAAGTGAAAACCTCCACCATCATTAATTGTTTTGCAAAAGCAGGAATTTCCGAAGAACAGCAGAAATCTGCTATTCGGATGAAGATAACGATCCCTTTAAAGAGGTTCAAAATCAGATAGAAAAACTTGATAATTTTTACCCTCCAGGTACAACAGCTGAAGATGTTATTTTTGCAGATGAAAACTTAATTAGCGCAGAAACTTTACTTACAGATGAACAGTTGATAGAAGAAGTTAAAAATGCAGCGAATGAACATGACGCTAATGACGAGGAAGATAATGATGATGATAATGCAACGGATCCAGTTTGCCCAAAAGTTAGTGATATTCGGGAGGGACTGCAAGTGTTGTATGACTATATACCCTTCAGTCTTATGGGCGAAGATTTGCAACAAAAGCTCAATGCAGTCTCGATTATATTCGATAGAGACGTTTCTTCAAAACTAAAACAGAGTGACATTATAACATTTTTCAATTTATAATGCATTATTTTTACTTTTGAGATCAAAACTTTTAATAACTTTAATTGTTTTTAATCATCCGCAAAAGTTCGTGGTATAAAATGTTCTGATAACTCGAACATTCGCTAACTCAAACTACTTTCTAGGTCCCTTGGAGGTTCGAGATATCGGGAGTTCACTGTATACAGTCTTTCATAGGAAGACGTGCATGTCTTTATTTGACTAGGCAAATTGCATTTTGCTTTGAGGGTTTGACCACTGCTATTTCAAAAAACAATTTAAAAACGCGCTGAATGAAAAATATTCTGAATTATACCGTAAGTGAAATAAATTACATCAAAACTTAGAACAAAGGTTTTTATATTAGCGAAATGCTTTTAAATAATGTAACAATATACTAATAATGTTATTTTTTAAGTATAATTGACAGTTGTATATATTTTTTTAATTTATAATATATAAATTGTTTAAGTGTGCATTTGTCATAATAAACGTTATTAAAAAATAAAAAATTGTTTTGTTTTTATAAACAATGAAATTCTGCGAAAACAAAAGTCTTTTTAATGAATTTTAATATAAGAATAATTAAAGTTAATACATTTGATAAGATCAAGGACGTATTAATAGATGGACGTTTAACGTATTGTTTAAAAGGAAAGATATCCGCGCTATTCATTGTTACAAATAACAATAGCAAAACAATAGAGAACAGATGTTAACTTAAGAATATTTTTACTTGATTTTGCGTCAAAATAGCAATAGTTTCGCCTAGCCTAAAAAATATTTAAACATTCCGTAACACCTAAAAACTCTAAAAAAAATTTAAATAAATAAAACCTTCTCATTATATGATATATAAACTCAAGCGAAATCTTTACATGGAAAAGAAAAGTTATTAACAGAAAAATATAAAAACGAAATTGTGAGACAAAATTTCCGACAAAAATGAGAAATTTAAATACTTAAAATAATAGTGAAAACCAAGTGTAGGGAATAGAGACCACAAATAATCTATAGTTCGATCTATAAATAATCTACAGTTTTACCTACAACATCTAGAAAATTCGTTTCACTTTGGAGTATTCATTCTTGCGAACTTCATATCACTTTTCCACAAAAATATGATTTTTGACGTCTAAGTTTTATTAATGATAAGTTCTTATTAAAAAGTGCTCCCGTATGAAATTTGACATTTTAAAACAGATGAACTATTTCTGATTAACTAAAATGCATTAATTTAAAAAAAAGTTGGAGTTTTATTGGTAATTGCACTTTAAAAAAAAAGTGGTTAGAAAAGCGAAAATGTCGAAAAAACGTCGGTATATTTTTATAAATTATTCAGAAAAATGACGCTAAAAATTATAGCTCGCATAGATTTTTGTTTACTCGCGGCGCCTGAGATCTATAACAATGCGCAGGGGCGGATCTAGGATTTTATATAGGTGTAGCTAAAATTTGTAAAATTACGTCATAATTGCAACTATTTAATAAGTCGGTTAGTCTACGTCAAAAAGACGTCCGACAATTACGTCATGTAGACGCCGCCAGACTTTTTTTATCTGAGCGTTTTTAATTCAGTTTTTGCACACATATTTTTTCATTTATTTTTAATGGATTCTAGTAAAATAATTAATGGTAAAATATAAAATTTGCCTTGGCTATTCTGTTCGTAATTTAGACATGCCTAATTTACTTAACGAAGTGCACCAACTAGAAGGTAAGCCATAGGACTTTGCACTCCATATGTAAGTTGTTATGCTGCCTAAAGTTAGCTCTTCAATTCTGGATTCTTTCCTTTATACTTTTGTTACTAATAAAATAAATGCAACTATCACTGCATTAACAATATGATATCGTGATTTATTCAAAAGATATTTACTTATATATTACTAAGATATTAAAGTTGTATAATACTATATATAATACTACATATACTAAATATATATAATACTATATATATATAATATATATATACTAAAAAAAAAATATTTGAACAGTCTCATTATCTATAGAATCCTCAGGAAGCTAATTTATAACATCTTTGTTTTTTATGATTATCGAGCACTCTTTTTGTAGCATATTCAAATGAAATCAACACATTTAAATTTTTTATTTAGTGGTTTACATTATTTAGTTTAGAACAATTTTTAAAACATTTTACATTTTAGATGTCAAGGATTATGAAATGTACACAAAATAGAAAATAAATTTACTTATTAAACATTTATAAAAAATAAAAAAAGATGCTCTAAGAGTAAATTTAACAATGAAAAAAAAAAAAAAAATGATTGTGAATATAAAAGAGATTCAATTATTTTATTTTATTATATATAAATATAATTATTATTCAATCATAGCCAATTATTTAAGGCTTAAATAGCAACTTTAAACATCTCTCTCCATTAGCTGAAAATTTTATGCTATCAAGACCCGTCTTGATAGCATATCAAGAACCATTTCAGTATAAATTGACATTAAAGCTAGGTCATTCAATGACTTTTTTAACACTCTACTTCTTGAATAAGTTTTTAATCTCTTGGTATTGTACCTAGAATTGAACCTTTAAAATATTCAAGAATGTTAAGAAAATAAGTCATTGTCATGAGTTTTGTTTATAAAATACTAGATAGGGGTTTTGACTGATATTTCTAAATAGGCTTCCATATTCCAACTCTGCATAAATAAAGGTTGAATGCAGAGTTGGAATGATAGATATCTAGAAATTCCTGAAAGATTTGCAAATCTTAGTTTTCAAGTAGCTTAACATGACAGTTGGAATTGCACACATCCCATATAAACCAACTTGCTTTCTGTTTGAAATTTTATATAATTAAGAAGTTCATTAACAAGATGGTCCAGTAGAGGTAAAGTGACAGAAAGCTTAAAATAATCAGATGATGAGTGATTATCATGATTGATTTGCTTTCCACATTTTCTAGTTTTTTTGTTCCTTTACATTTAAAGTAAGAGCTAATTCAAAAGCAATATTAGACCAATTGTAGCGATATAAAAAATTCAATCCATCAAATTTTGGTTAAAACTAAAGTTACATTGAAATAAAATTCAAACATCAACTATGAGGAGACTAAAAGAAAAATACCTAGATTTTTCTGTTTTCAAACCCAACAAGTAAAACAAACATTGATTAGCTTGGCTTTTTCAACAGAAAGATAATTATTTAAACATGCCTTTATTTTCCGACTAAGGGCACATTTAAATAATTAAAGACAGTCAACAAACCTTAAGAAATCTTTACGAGTAATACAGTTATTGCCTATATATCTTATAACGATAGACTACTGTTTAAGATTGGCACAATCAGATGCTTTATCAGCTAAAACTGAATAGTATTTACTATTATTGATTTCAGAAATAAGAATCTTCTCAAAAGCCTCTCTACAACACTCCATAAGTTGTTTTTGTGCGGTTTAAGAAATAATGTAACATTTTTAGAGACAGATATTAAATGATTTTATAAGATAGTGTAACCTGCATAAATTCCAAAATTAAGTAGTTCAAAAATATTTTTTTCAACTCTTTCTTGAGAACTCTTTTCAAGAGAGTTCTCAAGAAAGAGTAAGGAAATATTATATTATAAAATAAAAATATAATACAATATTGGAGACTATAATACAAGAGACTCTTATATTATAGTCTCCAATACTGTATTATATTTGATTCTAATTAACAATAAAATCAACTTATAAGATCCTCTTTAATTAAAGCTTCAATTTGAAGATTAAAATTTTTTTAGAAGAAATAAAAATCTAATATTTTAATTATTTACATTTATAGCAAAAAAAAAAATAAAAATTGTTTATATAGCTCTGTAGCAAAACTATTATTTATATTAATAACCTGTTTAATAAAATAATAATGTTTTAGTTAAATTTATAAGAATTTTAAAACAATAAGCACAAAAAAAATAAATTTTTTGTATAAATAAACTAGTTACAGCTACAAAAGGCTGGTTATTTTTATTACAAATATAGTCCGTGAAAACATAGTTAAAAATATACCTTGAAGCTACAAAAGTTTTGTCAAAACCTTGATCCATTTTAAAATATGGCATAAAAACATTCATATCAGGGCATTTTCAAGCCAAAAGTTTAACTACAAAATTAAACTGGTGAGATATTCAAACCATTTCGTTTTGTAAACAATTTTTTTCGCAACATTTAATGTTATGAATGTGAATTAATAGCATTTGGAACAGTTTTTTTTTTAAAACATATCCGCCATGATAACCAACTTACTAAGAAAATAATAACGGCGCTTTCCTAATTTAAATATAGCTGGGTATAAAAAGTCTGGGAAATAAGTACAGCCACAATCTAGCCACGGGCTACGAGTGTTGACGGCATACGACTTTTCGATAAAAATACATTACGTTAAAAAAAACAATAATTTAGTCAGCTTATGCCGTAAAATCAGGTCGTTTGTGGCTGAGCCACAAACCGATATGGAATGACCGATCTTTTTTTTAATTCCGGTTTTTTTAGTTTTAAGTAATCGCTTTTTAAGCCGAATTTACACAGCAAATAAAAATAAACTTATCTTGATTATTTATATTATTTTTATTTTGAAAATGTGTCGGAGTATTATACTGTTTTATTTCGTTGATTATTTTAAGGTGTAGCCTTAGCCACAACGGCTATACCCTAGATCCGCGCCTGATGCGTTAAACGTCCATCTATTAATACGTCCTTGATAAGATTAAACAAAATTTCGTTGAAAAAAGAAGACAAATATTTTAGAAAGCCGATACAATTAAATAAGTTTGATCTTAAATGCTTGTTTATCATTTGAAATATATATGAGTGGGTCAGAAGCCAAGGGGTACAAGTGACATTTTCATAGTTTTGAGATACAGCTGTTTAAAGTTAAAGTATTTTTGTTAAATATACTCAGCTGTTGTTTTGTTTTTCCAGTAGAAAGCAGCACAGGGCAGAGATTCACTTGTATCCCTTGGCCAGCAACAATTTTGTTTGCTTCTTCTATCAAATTCTATACTTAACTTA